ATGCGAGGAATTGTTGTCCTAATTTGTTCGTTACCATTTGATTGCATGGGGGCGTATACCAAGTTATTTTTCGACTTCTGTTTTTTCTATGCTTTCCATTTACATTCTTAATATGAGTTAGTTCTGTTTTTTTGTAGCCACTTTCTTTTAGAGCTTTTTTATAGAAATTAATATGTTCATCAAAGATCTTGTTATTTGCTGAATTTGTACTTATTCTTTGTAGTTAGGGTGTATATATAAAAGGTTGGTATTCGGTAGTTTATAAGGTGCGTATGTATTTTTATTAAATCTAATGTTATATCAAGGAAATTCACTTTTTTAATTTAGTGCGCCCTGTAATTTTTAAGCCCATGCTTTTAAATTCTTTCTATAATACCTTTCTAATTTTATCTAATTTGAAGTCAGTAGTTTCTAATAACAACAAGGCCATCGTCTATGTACAAACCAAACGAACTTTTTTATTAATTTAATTATTTAAAAATTTAAGAAATGAGGATAGCAACTCACTCAACCAATAATATAACGTTTATAGTAATAAGACGTAATGTTGACGTAAAGAAACTATTTAAAGTTTAGATAGATAGATAGATGGTAAAACCCTGAGATAGATAGATAGATAGATAGAAACATACATGCAAAAGCCCTAAGATATATATATATATATATATATATATATATATATATATATATATATATATATATATGTGTGTGTGTGTGTGTGTGTGTGTGTGTGTGTGTGTGTGTGTGTGTGTGTGTGTGTTGAAACTTGACTAATGCATGGAATAATAATGCAACACAAAATGTACTTAGAACAAAATGTATTGAAACAAGAAAGTGTACACAATATTTACATATAGTCTTTTGTATATTCCTGGTAAGACCGTTCCTGGAGAATGTGTTGACAGTGTTGAGGCGCAGTCGGGCAGAGTCTCTGGTTGAATCTCTTGATTCCCCCCTACTTCCCGGTAGCAATCATATTGATATGGTCGGTACTCCACTATGCAAATTAGGTGGATCCTACCACAACACCCCCTCCCAAGCCTTGGAATCCTTTTGGATTTCAAACTGGCTTCCTATATGGGTTGATGATTATGGCTATTTCTTTGTAGATCCATTTGCATACTTCATATGCATATGTCCATCCGCTTAATTTTAATATTTTTCCATTTTGGATTCACGTCCAATGGGTCCGTGAACTTCCGTTTCCTACCGGATCTTCTCGGTTCAGGAGTATTCTGAGGAGGTTCTACTTGAAACATATCATACATTACCTCAATGGATCTTCCTCCTCATCCGGTATACTCTGTTCATGCTCTATAACGTAACATTTTTTAAGTTGATTCTGGTGCCTTTTGTGAGTATTCTTCGGCCCTTTAATTATGTAAATCAGGTCACCGATTCTCTTGTCCACTATGACTCGTTCCCAGAACTCAACGTTGTTTTTTAGCATGAAAAACACCTTCTCTCCGGAGGTGTATCTTTTTCTCGCTGTATACATAGTATTCTTTACTCTATTTTTCCTGGCAAAAAGTCTGTCAAACACTGACTTAACTTTCCTAGCGAACATTAGTTCAGCTGGTGCCATGTTTGGAGTGTGTTCTCTGGTTTGGCGTGATTCTGTATACTTGTAGGAATTGAAGCGCCTTTTCCCGTTGGAACTCCTGAGGCTTTATTCAGAGCGCGCTTTAAAGTACCGACAAATTTTTCTGCGAGTCCATTGGACCTCGGATGATACGGCGGCGTCGT